AGTAGCACAATCAAATGATGAGGAAGTGGTTAAAGCAAAATTAGAAAAATCTGTTTCAACTTCAGCAACATTAGCTTCAGAACTTTCTTTACCTTTGGTCTTCAATTTAGGACAATCTTTCTTCCAATGGCCCTTATTACGACAAAAGGCACATTCATCCCTTTCCAAAGGTTTTCTACCTTTAGAGTTTCCTCTAGGTCGAGACTGTGATTTTTTCCTACTAGAAGATGATCTTCTCTCCGATGATCTACCTCTAACAAATAAAGCTTCCGAGGTACTATCATGATTTTTATCTCTATGCCTCATTTCATAATTCATCAAGGCATTTGACACATCTTCAAATTTCACAGTTTCTTTACCATGCATAATAGTGGTAACAAAATGCTCATAAGAGTCCGGCAAGGAATTCAACAATATTAAGACCTTATCTTCATCCTTAATATCCTCATCTAAATTTAACAAGTCGGCAATCAACTTATTAAAAGCATCAAGGTGTCTAATCATTTTTGTACCTTCTTTGTATTGGAAGCGGTAGAGCTTTTTCTTCAAGTGTAGCCGGTTCTCTGCACTCTTCGTCATATACTTGTCTTCCAATTTTTGTCACAACACACTTGCCAATGTCTCCCGCATCACAAAATACTTCTGAGTTTTTGCAAGGCACAACCGAATTGAAGAGCAAGCCCACAAATTTAATTTCTCCCATTCCGGCTTCGACATAGCTTCCGGCTTCTCTTCCAAAGCGGCAAGTAGATCTTGTTGAGCCAACACATCTTTGACCGCACATTGCCACATCCCAAAGTTGTTTGTGCCATCAAACTTTTCAACTTCGAACTTTGCATTTTGCACCGTAGTTCTTGCAAATCCGGCGCTGTTTCAAAAAGGATTCTCATCTTGCCCGTCTGACATTTTTGGCAATTAGACAGTACCCAAGAGCAACCAATGCTTTGATACCAATTGTTGTGCTAGGATAGCACCAAACTAAATGGAACCAACTCAAGCTAACTCACAATAAATTTATCAAATGAAAATGCAAGAACAAAATATAAAAGATACCAAGATTTTAACGAGGTTCCTCAACAGTCAGTGTAACTGGAGTACGTCCTCGGAGCAGTAGGAGCTCACCCAATAATCCACTCTCAATCAAATGGGAGTTTACAAAGTGTTGACAATCTCACAACCCAAAAACCCAATACACCCAATAGCTCTCACACACCAAAGAAACAAATAGAGAAAGAAATATAAAGAATAATTTCTTCTCTATACATATAGCTCAAAGCTATTACAACAACAATTACTTTGGTTGATGATTACCAATCAAATGAAGCAACAACTTCTTCTTCTGTTTTAGGCCCTCTGCAACTCTCCCTTGCTCTCTGCAAAAAAAAAGGAGCTCTTTCTTCTCTCCTTTTTCTTCAAAACCGAAATGAGCTCTCAATTTTCTATATTGCTTCAAAGGCAATTATCCTCTATTAAACCAACATCCATGGGTGTTGAAGAGAACAAAAAAACTTTTCCCTTTTTTCCTCCCCAAAACAAGGAAAGGTGTTGTCCACCTTCTTTTTTTAGGTTTGTTTAGCCGAAAGGTCTTTTGGACACTTGTCCACTTGGCCACATACTCCAACAGTTTCACCTCAAGAGTCTATTGCCAAGAACAGGGGAAAAAGACAAATTACCAAGCCAGCTCGGTATAGTGACTATGTTGCTTTTGCTCTTCCTATTATCACTGATGAGATTCCATCCAATTTTGAGGAAACCATTGAGAGTGAGGAAAAGGAGAAGTGGTACAATGCCATGGGTGATGAGATGAATTCTCTTGAAGAACAAGACTTGGGAGTTAACTAAATTGCCTAAGGGTAAGAAAGCTATTGGTTGTAAATGGGTGTATGCCAAGAAGGAAAATGCTGATGAGAAAAGCAATGTAAGATTCAAAGCAAGATTAGTTGCTAAAGGGTATGCACAAAAGGAAGGCATTGACTACAATAAAATTTTTTCTCCAGTTGTGAAGCACTCCTCAATTCGCATTATGTTAGCTCTTGTTGCACAATATGATCTTGAGCTTGTGCAACTCGATGTGAAGACGGCTTTCCTACATGGTGATTTGAATGAAGAGATCTATATGTGTCAACCGGATGGGTATAAAGTGAAAGGGAAAGAGAATTTGTTTTGCAAGTTGAAGAAATCACTTTATGGCTTGAAGCAATCTCCAAGACAATGGTATTTGAGGTTTGATAAATTTATGAGAGGCCAAAATTATTCTAGAAGTCAATATGATCATTGTGTGTACTTCAAGAAGTTGCAAGATGGGTCTTTCATTTATTTGTTGATATATGTTGATTGCCTCAAAGAATGTCGAAGAGATTGAGAAATTGAAGAATCAAATGAAGAATGAGTTCGAGATGAAGGATCTTGGTGAAGCAAAGAAGATACTTGGCATGGAGATCACTAGAGACAGAGAGAAGGGTTTGGTTTGTTTGAATCAAAGACAATACCTTGAGAAGTTGATTCGGAAGTTTGGAGTTCATGATTCAACTAAACCGGTTAGTACCCCTTTGGCTCCTCATTTTAAATTGAGTTCTCTACAATGTCCTAAAACTGATAAGGAGAAGCTGCAAATGAAAAATATACCATATGCAAATTTGGTTGGTAGTTTGATGTATGCAATGGTATGCTCTAGACCAGATATTGCTCATGCAGTTGGCATGCTGAGTCGATATATGCATAATCCTGGTAAAGAGCACTGGCAAGCAGCTAAGTGGATATTGAGGTATCTCCATGATACTCAAGATGTTGGTTTATGCTTTGAGAGGGATGACTCTGGTATTAGTCATTTTGCTGTTGGTTATGTTGATTCAGATTATGCAGGTGATCTGGATGGAAGGAAGTCTACTACAGGCTATGTGTTTACAATGGCTAAAGGGCCAGTTTGTTGGAGGTCCATTTTGCAGTCGTCTGTTGCCTTGTCTACTACAGAGGCTGAATATATGGCAGTTGCTGAAGCTATAAAGGAGGCCATTTGGATACATTGACTGATTAGAGATTTGGGGGTTGATCAGAAGCAGGTGGAGGTGCATTGTGATAGTCAGAGTGCCATTTATTTGGCTAAGTATCAGGTTCATCATGCGATGACCAAGCACATAGATGTGCGTTATCACTTTGTTCGTGAAGTAGTTGGTGAAGGGGAGATCATTCTCCAGAAGATTCCAACTAAAGACAACCCCGCTAATATGTTGACTAAGGTTGTTGGTGTAGCCAAGTTTATTCATTGCTTGAACTTGGCTCACATTTTGCCTATATAAAGAAGGCGTTGAGCAGTAGGAGTTTTGAAGTATTTTTGCTTATCATGGCGCCTTTCGGAACTTGGCCAAGGTGGAGATTGTTGAAGTATGTGGCCAAGTGGACAAGTGTCCAAAAGACCTTTCGGCTAAACAAACCTAAAAAATAAGAAGGTGGACAACACCTTTCCTTGTTTTGGGGAGGAAAAAAGGGAAAAGGTTTTTTGTTCTCTTCAACACCCGTGGGTGTTGGTTTAATAGAAGATAATTGCCTTTGAAGCAAAAAGAAAATAGATAGAGCTCATTTCGGTTTGAAGAAAAGAAGAGAGAAGAAAGAGCTCCTTTTTTGCAGAGAGCAAGGGAGAGTTGCAGAGAGCCTAAAACAGAAGAAGAAGTTGTTGCTTCATTTGATTGGTGATCATCAACCAAAGTAATTGTTGTTGTAATAGCTTTGAGCTATATGTATAGAGAAGAAATTATTCTTTATATTTCTTTCTCTATTTGTTTCTCTGGTGTATGAGAGCTATTGGGTGTATTGGGCTTTTGGGTTGTGAGATTGTCAACACTTTGTAAACTCCCATTTGGTTGATAGTGGATTATTGGGTGAGCTCCTACTGCTCCGAGGACGTACTCCAATTACACTGACTGTTGAGGAACCTCGTTAAAATCTTGGTGTCTTTTATATTTTGTTCTTGCATTTTCATTTGATAAATTTCCTATGGGTTAGCTTGAGTTGGTTCCATTTAGTTTGGTGCTATCCTAGCACAACATGCAATTGAGTTAAGTTACCGTACTTTAAGAACAATGTAGTCGTGTTGAAAGTTTTCCCAATATGGCTTTGGTTCAAGTCAGCTGGTAGTGGTGTCGTTATATGAAATTAGTAGAAGAGAGGGTTAACTGAAACTGGGGTCAAATTTTCCCCTTTGATTAATTCAGTTTCGCATTCATGTTTCCACATCTACCTCTTGTGTGCATCATAGCTAGTGAACTTTCTAAAAGGGACCATGGTTCCTTTGGATCTTACATTGCTTGGGAATTGAAGTTAAGTTTGGTTGGCAGCTTAGATTGCCCTGGTAATGCTATAGTTGACCGTTATACTTGAAAATTTGGGGCATCATTTTTATAGGTATGCTCACGGTATTCCAGTGAAATTTAGAGGTTGTCACCAACTGGGAATGTGTCATAGCCTCTTATCGTTGCTAATGATATCATTACTGGAACCAGTGATAAATTCTCTTCCCTCTTCCTTCCCTCTCTCTAAAAGAGAAGTGACATGGAATCAAACAGCTATGCTAGCTAGCTCTTTTGCAATCATTTTATCTACATAATATCACACCATTGCCTGATTTTAGGACATGATAAATGATTAAATTACGATTACCAACCATGGGACTGTAGTTGCTAGTAACCAATCATAGGACTGTAGTTGCTAGTAACCAACCTGGCACCTTAATACACATGACCCTTAGAATTGACAAAATAACTGTGCGAAAGGCAATTTATCGTTATTTAGGCGAGTGCACTCACACACATGCATTTTTAAAATGGACTTAGATTGAAGGCTAAAACAGATGAGGGTTCTTCCATATTTGCTTTATTATCAGCCTAATTTTCTCTTAATGAAACTTTGACTGTAGCTTTCTGCAAGTTCCATTCAAATTTGTTTATACTTGAACTTTGGTTTTTGTTTTTTGGTATGTGCCACTAATCATCTTTAATTATATGCAGGGATGCAAGCCGGTCGAACAGATGGACGTGATGGGTGGATCCACATTAGCTAGCCCAAGCTCGTCTTTCCTCCAAAGTAATCGTGCTTCCTACAATCCAAGCCCAGGCTCTTCCTCCATCCCTAGCCCAACATCATCTTCCTATGCTGCTAACCAGAATGCTGATGGCAGATCCCTTATCCCATGGCTCAAAAATCTCTCCTCTGCATCCTCTTCAGCCTCCTCTTCCAAACTACCGAACCTCTACATCCATGGTGGCTCTATCAGTGCTCCTGTTACCCCTCCATTAAGCTCCCCAACTGCCAGGACACCGAGAATGAGAACTGACTGGGATGACCAGTCTGCTCGGACAGGCTGGGCTGGGCAGCAATTCCCCTTCCTGCCATCTTCTACTCCACCAAGCCCTGGACAGCAGATTGTTCCTGATCCAGAATGGTTTGCTGGGATTCCGGTTCCCCGTGGACCCAATTCTCCAACATTCAGCCTTGTCTCTTCAAACCCATTTGGGTTTAAGGACGAGGTTTTAGCCGGTGCTGGATCCCGCATGTGGACTCCCGGGCAAAGTGGGACATGTTCTCCTGCCATTGCAGCTGGCTCTGATCACACTGCTGACATCCCCATGTCCGAGGTGATTTCTGATGAGTTTGCATTTGGATGCAATACAACAGGGCTGGTTAAGGCATGGGAAGGAGAGAAGATTCATGAAGAGTGTGGATCCGATGACCTGGAGCTCACTCTTGGGAGCTCAAGAACAAGGTGTGTTAGCTTAAACATTTGATTTGCAACATCATGTGTTTTGTTCTGAATTGTTTGTTTGCTCACTCGAACAATGTTATGTACAGGTAAAGGACTGCACAAAGCGAATTTGTATCATGTTACGTCGCATCTAAAGGACTGCGCAAAGTGAAGATCACTTGTTATAGAACGAACTTTAATTCCTTGTCTGTGCTATTCCAGATAAAAGGGAGAGAAAAAGGAATCAAGGTGAGTTTAACCCGTCACTCCTTTCTATTTATTTTTTAATTCTTCGTTTCCTAATGTTTGTCCGGAGTCATATTTAGTTAGTCATTTTGAGGTGCTGAATGGTTATACAACCCTTTGGTCATTGTTTCTTAGAACAACCTAAGTTTGATTGGAAGGAATCCATGTACATGTATGAATTGGCTGCTGCCTGTGGTTTCCCATTGAAATTACTGTTCAACGACCAAAGGGGATTTAGGCTATAGCTCAATTGCCAAACCTTTTTCCAAGAGTGAATAGATTTATAGTGCTCTCTTCCATTGGCTTTTGTATATTCTTTGACATTATACTTGTGTGTTTGGCATGCTAATTATCCGGTTCATTGGTTGTCTCTATATTATTTCAAAAACATTGCTCGGTTCCTGACACGTAATGAACATTTTCTCAATATGACACGTACAAAATATCTCGTTGTTTGGATGTCAAATTTTGACGAGGAATAGCTCCTTGCATGTAAGAAGCCAAGTACTTTCGGGGTGATTGGTATAAGCTCGACAAATTTATCGTTTCTATTAGAATTTGTCGTCATTGTTGACATACAAAGAGTGAATCACTTTATCTATAAAATCTTATGGTGTGGACCAAACCACCACTACTGCAGCATATTGCGACTGAAAACATATCGGAGCGACCACAAAGGATATGTCGCTTTGAATCTTCATATTTTAACTGTCTTTTGACCAAAAGAAAAGCCCTTGGGAACATAAGACTTTATTTGTCCTTGCAAGTAGTGGAATGCCTAGGTGGTTAGGGATTTCTCTTCAATCTTTTATGTTCCAAGTACAAATCATTCTCCTCCTCTTAGCGTAGATTAATGTAGAATATTGCTTGTATTAGAAGAAAAAATAGAGAGAAATTGAGTTCATAAACTATTCTAGGTCTGGCCAATTCTCGTCTGCATAAACACTTTTGTGAATTATTAATCAACACACGTTCATGAGATCTGAATTCAGGACCTCCTCCAATACACCCAGAATGAAATGAACTTTTAAAACATTATACTTCACGGTGCAAATAATCAGGATTCAGAACTCATTAACATGATTAATTTTAAACATCTGTATTCTTACTCTCTATAACTTTTAACTAATAAGAAATAGCTCTGGGATGGTTAAGTAACAAAAGACTAGAAATATTCCATGTACTAGTAGTACCTTTATCCAAAGGTTCGAAAACCTTCAACTTCATTAATCTTAGGGTTCACCAACACAAAGCTGTTCGATGTACGTTCTGAGCACTACTTCGCCGCTACTCCTAAACCTGATCCTATGTTCTGATGATCCTAGTAGCCAATGCAGACCACCATTAACAAAAGCATGGCGCTTATCGCGCCGATCAGCTGTTACCGTTCCGCATAAAATCAGCGGGAACATTGTCTACAGCACTGAAACTCTTCCAGCAGCCCTTTGCTATCGACTAAACCCAAACCTCACATTGAGTTTGGGTTCGGTTAGCACGTATTTTGATGACCTTATAGTCATTGGTACGCGAAGCGTAACCGAAGTCGATTAGATTTGTTTGTTCGCCCTTGTTATGGTAGCGAATCAGTTGCGAACGGCTTAATAAGCTTAGTATACTCACCCAAAACATGTTTAAAGTAGTCCAAAAAGTACTTGGGGGTTTTTGCTATTGTATAATAGTTAGGGTTTTGGGGGTGCTTAATTATATTCTCCTTGCCCTAATAAAATTAGGAGAGCATAAGACTTCCTTCTCCAGAAAGGTTTGACTTCCTTCCCCCACTTCATTGATGACTTGAATAGTCGAAGGCATGTACAAATCTCAGTATTGAAAAAAGTTTGGGATCTCAAACAAATGACTCTCAGGGTAACAATATAAAACAAAGGATAAAACAACATGACTGAAATTTAACCACCGCAGGGTAGTTTAGTGGTTGGGGACAAATTTCAGGCCATACCCCACATGACACATCCTGAATTCAATTCCTGACGCTTGTGAATCACACAATGGTGGTCAAGAAGAGGTTGAAATGCTTTTGTGAGTCTTCTTGTCCCTTGAAGGGTGAATTGCATATGATTTTGTTTGTCACTAATCCGACAATGTTCTTATTTGTTGGATTCCTGAAATTCGTAACTGTATTTAAGTTGCACGTGAGCATGAATCATAAATAATTTAAAAAATTGCATGTTTGGATATATATAACAAAAACAAAACAAAAGTGAAGAAATCTAATAGGTTCAAGATCTCATCAACCTGTTTGCTAATAAGAAATGGCATAGGGGTGGCCAAACAAGGCAATGCTCTCTACAAAATGATCCATGAAGGAGCAATTATCGTCAATATCTAAATCTTCAACTTGATCGGTGTTAGGGTTCAATGATACCAGCTTCAACCTCAAACAATCCAAATACGTTTGAACTTTGAAGTATCACTTCACCACTCTTTCTAAAACACAATGGGATGATTAGTGTGACTGTAGGCAGGCGTATAGTAAATAATATAGTCCACGATTCCACCACGCCATACTCTTTCATCACCCATACACAAAAACTACGTTTCCGACTTCTTCTTCTGTCCTCTTCAAAAGGATCGTCATTCTTAAACAAGGCGAGGGAGTCCCCGTAGCTTGAAATGAAAAATTGAGAATCTGCCCTGTTTCTCAAAGATCCAGGCATCGCTATCTCACCAAATAATTCTCTGTTCACATCAAACCATGTAATGAAATGATATCTAACTCCCTCTTTTCTACGAATTTGAAGCCAATGCAAAACGCCATGGACAAAAGCTTTCGCTCCTTGATAATTTAATGGCTCAAAAACTTCAGGAATATTACTAACAGCGGCAGTAAGAGTATTCCAGGTGCCCCTTGCTAAAGACCAGACCTCAACCCTACTTGGGTTTAGGGTTTCATAACTCAACGTTCTCAAAACCTTATAGTCTTTCGTACGCGAATCATAGCTAAGGGCATAATAACTTTGTCTTCTCACTCTAGGTCCCTCGTCGTCCCGTGTAACACTAGGTGCAGGCAAATTAAAAAACTTTCTAATACAAGGGTTCCAAATTATTGGAGTACCCCTTCGATAATTGATACAATTTTTAACGTCTATGCAATTCGGGTCAAAATCATATGAAATACTTGTAAGAATACAAAGATGTTGTAGTATATAATGCAAGGTCGTTCTCCTCAAGGACTATTTGGATAATTTATGTAGAAACAATTCCTAATTAAATACTTAAAATTGAAAGTTAAGAAAAGAGATTTTAAGCTTGAGTAATATTAAAAACGAATTTTAATTAAAAAAAAATATGATAAAAGAAAAGAGTTTTAAATACCAATTTATAAAAACACTAGGGTTCCACCATCACCTAGCAATCCTATGTATTTTTATCAATTACTTATGATCTACACATGCCACTTTGAAGGTTAGGTTTTCCTAATTTATATTCTACTTGGAACCTTGAACATAGAACGTATATCTAACATGGAACCCGTCTTCAGATCAAATCTGAACATGAAAGACTCATTATGTTTATGAAAACCCTTTGAAAAACCATACAACCCTTAAGACGTGGTGTTCATCTTAAGTGAAGTTACAATTACTAATCACAAGAAGCCAACATCAATTTCAGGGAACCTTCCGACCAAAATTGCATCAAATTACTTTTCTAAAGATCCTCATGGTGATCAGGCATTAAGACAATTAGATAGCTTTAATCACGGTGATCAATAATTCAAAGTACGCATGCAATCAATCATAAGCAATTAAATAAAAATCACATATTCATGCTAAGGCTTACAGCTTCACCCTAGCAAAAGGAATTAGTTACGCATATTCATAATTGAAATCATAGAAAATATTATTAAGAATAAAAGGAATGAAAACACCTTAAAGTAGAAAATCTCCAAGAACCCTAGCCAAGTTCTCTGTCTCCAAAGTAGCATAAAATCAAGCGTATCCAAGACCAAGAACGGCAAAGCAATATATTTGCTAAGCCCTTCGACAAACCCTAAGACATAGGTCTCTTATTCCAACTAGGAAACTAAATAATAATAAAATATCTTAGAAAATAAAACCCTAATTAAACTAGGAGAATCTGCCAAGTACTTGTCCAGCCACGTTTTAGCCTCAAATCTCCTCCAAATCCGGCCCATAATAGATTGTTCTAAGGATTAGGACGTTCTGAACACATCTAAAAAAGGCCACTAACCCATCCGAAGTCATCTTGGGCTCCAAAAACGCCCTTCAAGCCCAAAACGTCACTATTCCAGCATTGTGCATGGCTCATTTATTTTATTGCCAGAAAATCATCGTTTGGTAGAAAAATCAATACGATCAAGCTAAGTGACTCACGAACGTCCTCCAACTAGAATTACTCCAAAATTCGCCCATTTGACCATGTTTTGCTCCAGAAGAAGTTGAAAGTCCTATATTAGAAATACATTTCAAAGTATCAAAATTCTTCTAAAATATTAACCAAAGTATACTAAGAATAGGGTAAAATATATAATATGAAATTGACTCAACAATAATAATCAAGACATATGAGCCCGTTGCAAATTCCGACCACTTCAAATGCCTGATAATATGTGCCCTTGTGATCATCTACGAAAGGATATATAAGCTTGGAATACTCACCCAATTTAGGGTTATCCCAATGCAAGGAGCAAACCGTACTCTTTTCGATCCTGCTTTCAGCTAGCCGGAGTAGTAGGTGAGTGTTGTTTTGATCGTTGGATTGGATTGTGCGGCTGAGGCGTAAGTTAATGAATCTAGGGCTTTTGAGTCCGCTGAACCGGATTAAAGGTAAACCTCAGCAGAATTTCGTGTATGATTTCCTCAGGAAAATAGTCCACCGACATTGCATTCATCAATCTAGTCCCCAGTGACAAGATTCTGCTACAAGTTTGATGGGAAGAAATAGCAGTACGTCGATCAAGAAAGAGTTAGAGCAGTACTTGTGGGGTTTACATATATTTTCTATGTAGTTTCTGTGATTTGGGATTGGGGAGATGCTTTCCCATGTCTACATTCTATTCTCCTAAACCTAATCAACTATATAGGATATTAGAAGACTTCCTTTTTTTCGCAAGAAAAAAGGACTTCCTTTTCCCAAAAAATATAAAAGACTTGTTTCTGTCGTAAATCATTTAGGAGTGTGATTATGTGTAGGATTCTATAATATTTTCTAGATAGTTTTCTTTTATATATCTTGTATTACTTGAAGAGCAAGATCATTTCTTCTTTATCACTATAAATAAAGGAAACAGGCAAGAAATCACACACAATCTCTCTTATCTCTC